TAGCCGTCTCTTTGTCTCTCTTGTCATTCCTCGACTCATCTTTGATCGATATAACCATCTCTTGTGCGGAAGACTTAGTGGTCAAGTGTTGGGTCGGGATATCGTGTCCAACAGACTTGTCTTTGACGACCATTTCATCGACAAAGTGGTCGTTGGCGTCAAAGTACTCATCCGAGTCTTGTGACACTGATTTCGTTGTAGACATATTGTGGCGGTTGTGATGACAGTATATGTGTGTGTTGTGGACCAGATGTGGTGATACTTTGGACACTTGACACAAATCGGTGCCAATTGTCACTCAATGGGAATCACATCGAAATGAGCGCTCATTTGATGGCAAAGTGTGACCAATGAGTGAAGGTATCGACGCATTCATACATAACGTGCTATTGATTGAGCGTAGAATGCATTGAATTAAATGCATTCATGCATTGATTGGTTGGACGTAATTCATGTCGTGTCTGTCAACCGAATGTTTGTGTCATTGAATACGTATTGAATTGATTTGACTTCAGATGTGATTTGAATTGAGGTTTGCTTTGCATTGGAGTCCATCTGACAGTACATGTGTTGACACTTCACCACCACTTCATCACCACTTGGGATCAATTGACACACAAATGACTTTAGGGCTCAATAAAAGCCATTTCTTCAGTGTCTATAACAGTAAGAATGAGCCGAAAAAGAGACGATTAGATGAAGTAATGAATGGCTTGAGTGAAGACCACTTGCATCACATCCAACAGATCCACAGGTTTTGTCACTTATTGTTGCTTTGATGTCATGACTGAAGACATGCTTTGAACACATGATACAGTTATGAGACGCCATCCAAACGGTCGAGAAGTGCACGCTTTGACAACACACCTCAAGACACACCTCAAGACATCACTATAAGTATACCATTGAGTGATGCTTTGAATTGCATTTCTATTGATCCGTACATTGGTTTTCACTGAAGACACGCATCCTAAGTGCACGCATTGACAACACACCTCAAGACACACCTCAAGACATCACTATAAGTATACCATTGAGTGATGCTTTGAATTGCATTTCTATTGATCCGTACATTGGTTTTCACTGAAGACACGCATCCAAGGGATTCGTCGGCATTCGTGAAGAACCCGATGTCTGCCATCAAGAGTATGTGGAACCGATTGCGCGGCAAAACAGATAGTCATGAGTCGTCATCAGTGGTGACGAGTAGTAGTGATAATGCGATGAATCCAATGAATCCAATGCCATCCCAAAGCCATACCACGACTCAAACCAATGTTTATAACAACAATCGTGTGATGAATACAACGGAACTCTCTTTTCCGGCGCTCTATTCGATGAACACATCAACAGATCATTCTTCTGGAGTCGCCTTTCAAGCGGTCGGAACCGATGTGAAGCGAAAGCAACGCCTCTCCGGCTCTTACAAGTTGGACGAGAAGAGGAAATACAAGCAGTTATTGAACTCTCATTTGGGAACAGGTTTTAGGTTTCATTTCAAGAGGAGTACCACTAAAATGAGTTCAGATATTGTCGACTTGACGTCATCGCAGTCTTCACACAGTTTAAGGTCTGAGGAGTTGTCGGCCACTTATCCGACGCCTAAGTATAGCCGAGAACTGTTGGACACCAAAGAGAGGACACATTTAGTCGAAAAGATTAAAAGTAAGGGAATCACTGCCGACCCCACCATCCGATTGAATACTATAAGCACTTCCACACCATTCGGTGCGAAAGACATTTCGTTCTCGTTTTCTACGCGCAAACCATCGCTTATTAATGGAAATGAAACACAATTCAGTCATTTGTCACAATCATCTCCAACAACACATCCAATACCCGAAAGTTCTAAAAGATTCGGTCAAATGTTAGAAAACAATCGAAACTTTTTAGACAATAAATGGACTTCAGATCTGAGGAACAGTTTGAATGCAGACTCAGCCAGAACTCAGTCCAAGCTATTAAGAAGTGAACAAATAGTGTCTCAATATAAGGCCAAACGTGAGACAGATTTCAACGCCTTGAGTCCCAGTCTTCTGAAGCCCATCAACCGGACAGAACTGAAACCATTTATTCCATACATTGAGTCCTTCGGTGACATCGAAGAAGAGGAAGAAGATGTGGAGGAAGAGAGCGCAGCCGTCTTACCGGCGCTGACGCCTGAAATGGATCAGGAGATCGACAACGCTTTCAAATCAGGAAATAATGTACTTCTTGTGGACGCCTTCTTGTGTCAAATATACGGCAAAGACATTAAGACTCTCTATGGACTCAATTGGCTCAACGACGAGGTTTTGTTTATTACTAAAATTGTTTTTTTTATTTAATTAATGAATTGTTTATCGATTGAATAGATTATTAACTTTTATATGAGTCTAATCGTGGAGAGAGGGAAGTGCGACAACTTCCGCACAGTTCACGCGTTTAACACGTTTTTCTATAAGAAACTGAAGGACAGCGGTCCGCAAGGCCTCAAACGGTGGACCCGTAAGATCGATGTGTTCGCCAACGCATACGTCTTCATTCCCATCCATTTGGGAATGCATTGGTGTCTCGCCGTAAGTCTCTTTGAATCTCGTTTTTATTACCATTTATTTGATGGCTTTTCTGGTGAACAGGTCATCGATTTTGTCAATAAGAGGATTGAATACTACGACTCTATGGGAGGAAATAACTACGAATGCGTTGAGTCTCTCAAGGATTGGCTGCAGAATGAAAGCGTCGACAAAAAGAAGACGGAATTCCCGATGACTGAGTGGACACTGGCTATGGTGACAGACATCCCGCAGCAAATGAATGGCAGTGACTGTGGTATGTTTGCCTGTAAGTACGCCGAGTATATCGCACGGGACGCCAGAATCAACTTCAGTCAGGTATGGGTGTTGACCGCAATTCATGACCAATCCATGTATTCATTGTGTGATTTGTTGCCATTTTTAGGCTCACATGCCTTACTTCAGGCGACGAATGGTTTACGAGATTTTGAACAAACGTTTGTTATAATTAGAGTTCATTTGCGTTCAAACATCTTATCGTAGGTCTTATTTGCATCATAACGTCATAACTAATAAATCTATTAGAAATTGAATTTGTGTTTCGCATTGATATGATTTATCAGCCATTTATTTATTACATTATTGTCTAAACTATATGAGGAATAAGAAAACAGAAAATGTTTTTTAAATTGTTTGAATCCTATACATTGGGACAAATAAAAATCCATTTTTGTAATAATCAGAACGAAAGGTGAACTTTTGTTTTATATTTTCAAACAATTTATTTTATATACCGGTATACCGTAAATTATTTTAAATTAATAACATAACATTGGACAATTTTGACATGTATTTGACAAATATTGTATAAATATTTCGTAAAATTTTCCAGATTTTATGTGTTAAAGCAATCGAAATGAAAAAGCAAAACATATATTGAATATGATTTGAAAAATAAAGCCAAATGTAATGAAATGAAAGAATATTCTTACGAATGAATGGTTGTACGGATGGAGTGGCAAATGGTATGTTTGGTAGGTGTGAGTGGAGTACCGTTTGGTGTATTTGTCCCGAATATAACTCTTAACTCGAGCCGAACGAACAAAAGACTAGATGTGAGCGACCGATGGCCTCAACTTTTGGCCGAACAGCTCAAGTCAAGACACTCGGGTGGTTGGGCTCACTCTCACAGGCCTACCAGCGCTGACCATAGGGTGCCAAACCGATAGGACACCTATAAGTGGACTTCGCAGCACTGCATGACTGCATCATAAAAAGTGTGATTCAAAAGCTAGCGAATAGAGAGTGAAGTGATGCTAATAGTGGTTCACATCCTCTCAAACATTGTAATTAAATGATAGGAAAGCATAAAATGTGGACTAAATTAGTGTTTGTCTTACAATAGGATTACAAGACAATCGGTATGAAGAGTTGATAGGACTATAAAATAGTGGTCAAACAAACGGTACAACCATTTAGATGAGGAGGAAGTGAGAGAACTGGTAGAGCACTGGTATGACTGGTATGAGAGACTCGCACTGTATGTTCAGATCAGTTTACCTGTAAGTTATGTCAGTCGTGTCTCTCATGTCTGCATAGAGTAAAGCTTTGATAGCTTTCAATATACGATGTTTTAGTAGTTTTAATACTAATAGAGATTGCAATAGACTATAGAGTACTGCGAGCGATGGGGCACTAATGAAGGGGATGTTAGGGCGTGCCTGTGGTCTATGAAGTTGATATGAGACACGCGACAAACACATCATATTCATAGGTTGGTCCCATTATTTGGTTTCAATGCCACACCCCGTGTGCACTGCTATGTCCTGCGAGTGTCGACAACATCTAAACCATCCAAACGTTTATCAGTCTGT